CATTGTGGGCAACTCAGGGTTCCGTATCTTAGCTGGACAGGAAGAGCTGGGGATCGGTCTACTGACTTTCCAGTTGGTAGGTGACCTGCTCTACTATCAGAAATATCAAGTTATTACTGCTTAATTACCAAACGAATATGCAAGTAATTGTCTTGTGCTATATTAAAGATAAACCAATATTACTTAATTGTTATTTAGTTACTACCACAAGTCAGTATATCAAAATTCTAATGTGCATATATTACCATAGTACCCTATTTATTACTAGCAGGTTCCTATTATTACCACTATATTACTGTACGATTACTAATTATTTTAGTTACTGAAGTATTTCTCAGCTATAACCAATGATCATACAATATAATTACTTGGATATTTATTTTGTAACTAAGTAGTAATAATTTGTCATTTCTATATTATTACCTTCTTGTTCCTACCTTATTATTCCCACTGTTACCACATTATTACCCAGATTCTTTTCTGCAACACCAACGTAACAATTATCTTCTATAAAGTAAATGTAACATTTTGAAATTGTAACAGTTGCACATCCACAAATTTGAGTTTTACAATTGCTGCATGTAATAAGAACCTTAGCGATTTGTAGGGCTACACATTAAAACAGAGCAGAGGAGTAGCAACATAGCAGTAGGCTTTCGCTCAGTGGATAATATGTATAATAATATGTTATTTTGTGCTGTTTGTTTTTCAGATGTACAGATTGAATGCTCAGGATTGAGCAATCAGCTGTGCTGGAAAAGTTGTCAAAACATAAAACAAATCACTCCTATTACTCTTCTACATTTTTACATTGCAGATAGTTTGCTACAGTATGTTTGCTCGAAATGCCACAGGTTACTTTATGCATCTTGAATCACACATCCAAGTTCCCCTCATTAAAGAATGAACAAGAGGTCGTATTGGATTCCACTTGACAGCCTGTCCTTGGAGACAGCCTGTGATACTAGATACTGTTTACGGGGAGAGCAGGTGTACACTGCATCCACCGACCAGGCCACAGCATGCATTATTTAATGCGAGCTTCAGCAGACAACATGTGACACGAACAGAGAGGAAGTCTGGTCATTTGGAAAGCAAGTCAGTGTAACTTCTTTTTTTAGCTGCAGCATTTCTTGAGACTTGGTGAGAAGTAAACCAAAGAGCCCTGTGAAGCTGGGGCATGAAGCTTGGTCAGTATATTATTAGGAACCAGTACAACCGTTTTGTTTCCAATGTTGGTCTGAACAAAGGCTAAAGTTCTGTACGTGTAAGAAGGATTCAAACAGTAGTCTTGCCTTCAGCTTAAATTAGCATTTGACCACGTGTGTGTGTAAGTCTGCTAATGCTCAGAAAACCTCACTATCAGATGATTAAACATTAACAAACGCAAAGATCGTGGGAAATTTACCTGTGCTCTGAACATTTAACTTCCTAACATAAAGTCAGTTTTACTCCCTTTTACAACCCTGAAGTCATTGCACAAACCTATCGTTGACAAAATATAGTCAAATTGAGGAGTTTATGCAGCAAAACAAAAAAACTTCATATAAACAGTGCAGAAACAATGTCTTTAAGTGCTTCTTTAAATATACAAAGCTTTATGTTCCTTGCCTTACTAACATTGGGTAATTGGCATTAGACACAAAGTACAACTAAGGAACATCATTAGTTTTGCAGTAATTTGGTCATAAACAACAATAAATAAGTGTTATTGACCTTTAAAACAACATTTAATTCTAATCGAGGCTACTTTTGGCTGCTCACTTAGGACAAGGGGTCACCGCAGGAGATATCACCGCATGTTTGATTTGGCAGAGTTTTACACCACATGCCCTTCCTTCTTATAAGATGGCAGAAAAAGCAGCATCGGGGGATGAGCAATAGTATTACAGCACATCCTGTGCAGGATGTAAATACATATGGCTGTCGTTAAAAAAAAAATCACAACAAGGAGGAAAGAAAAGTAAATTGTAACAGTTCAATTAGTACGATTAGTACGATTTATTCTTCATCAGTCTGTTAGTGTCTAAATTCCACTAAGGCCATTAAGCTGTTATTTAAAAACTAGATAAAGAGATCTGTCATGATGTTTTAATGTTATTGATTATTTTGCTCTGTTCTACCTGTTGTAAATGTCTTACACATCTGTTGATACTGGCTTATTTTTATGCAGTTTTTATACATAAAACGCAGACGTGCCTATAGCTGAAGTGAAGTGTTCAGGATTAAATTTCAATGCAAAATGAATTAAATGAGTTGTATAAGGGTTGCCACTACAAACACAATATTTTCCTAAACCATGATTTCAAATCCGTTTGTTAGCTGTTATCATGATTAACCATTAGCTCTATAACAAAATTGTTTTCATGTATTCTGCTAGTTTGAATTTATTCACTTTATGGTAAATAGCAGTGTTTGTATTGCCATGGTGCAATACACACGCATACATACATCTGTATCTCGGCTTTTCTGTCTGAGTCACAGCGGCTTTATTCCCTTAGGGCTGGAAAGCAGCCTACCGCATCTGCTGTTTATACAGTCCAAGGCAGCTCACGCGGTTTCTCGGGACAATGCTCTAAATGCTCCTAGCTGTGATGGCCAGTGAGGCCATGGCAAATGTTAAGGTCTCCTAATCCCCTCTCAGCTCTGTGAGATCTATTTATTGTGTCAACATCAGAAAACCTAGTAAAGCATATGACTGTCAATACTCAAATACCATCAACACAGTCCCACAGAACAAAGCTCTGAGCTATGTCACAAGTTCATCTGACTCTTTTCCACAGCAAAGATGTACAATGTAATTGATGTTTTCCAATACACACCATGCAGTTTTCCCACTTTGGACCAAACCAATCTGCTGAGAACAGTTCCACTGTGCCAACATTGGCTGCAGTTCACCCAGAGGGCAGGTGATAGTGTCAGGGAAAAAACACACAACAGTTTATATGCTAAACACTGCTACTTGTTTTGTTTGAAACCAAATTTTGCCAAAAAATACTAGTATTCTGGCAATACAAGATAATTTATCCATAAATAAGTTGCACTGTGTGAATGATTATCTGTCTCTATATCCCCGTGGTAGACTGGTGGCCTGTCCAGCTGTACCACACCCCTCACCCCATGACAGCTGGGATATGCTCCAGAGCCCGTCTCCCTCGATGCTGACTTAGAAAAGTTTAAGAAAATGGATAGATGGAATTAAAGAATTCTCCTCTTTATGACAAATTTCTAAATAGTTAGTCCTGCAGATTACACAAGAATAATAACTTAAAAAGGAAACCTACGTGCATATAAAAGAAGGATCTGGTTGTGGTTTGAAATCGATTTCCTTCTAGTGGTCAGCGAATGTTGTCAAGTGGCTTGTGGTTCTGTGGCAATACTAATACTTACAGAGAGGTATATTAATACAGTAATAAACCTTTATAAAATCTAAGAATCAAACAACATCTGTTGTTTTGCTCATAAACTAATTGAAAACAGCTAAAAACAAACAAACAACATTTTAGCCCATAACTGTTACAATTATGGGCGAGAGCTAGAAAGGCCCACTTTATTCTGTACTATTTTGTGACTATCCTCTATTTAACCAAAAGTCCGAAAGTAGCAATTTTCTATGAAAAATCATGGGAGCTGTTGTCTTCACAGTCATTTCAGATCAGGGTTGGACTGGGACAAAAAATTGGCCCTGGAATATTTGGTCCAGGCAACTCACACTGATCACTGTATATATATATATATATATATATATATGTAAAATGCATATACATGAAACAGCACTAATTGCTATATTATTATGAATCAGCTATCCATTTAGCGAGTTTATGATATTCAGTAAATGTAGTTGTAGCTAGCGCCTTTTTCAATGGTCAGAACACATTGTGAACTTGTTCAAAGTTGTTGAAACATTATAAGATTACAACAAAAGAAGCCATAGTAAAGATATCAGGTCATTGGCGGCACAGACAGGTAACCAAGAAAAGTAAGATTACGTTGAAAAACCATATTTTTCTGTGATTGTTGGAAACGCCAATGTACATTTATATTTTATTTCATTTTGTTTGATTTTAGATATTGAAGCAGGTTTTAATCAGTAGTTTGTTGGGTTACAATATTAAAAGCCACACTTTTGCTGTTAGCAGTGGCTCATGGTAAAAGCACCCATTCATTTTACCTGAATCCTTAAATCTCTCGCTTCCTAATTACTGTCCTCCATCTATTTCTTACCACAATAAATGTATCTTCCTCGTCTCTTCCTCACTTCTCCGCAGTTGGTGCTAGAAGCAGTAGCCTCCTGTGACTGTGAGGTGTGGTTACTAGCTGTTACTAGATGCTGCTGGTACTGCTGTTCACGGTCCAACAGCAGCAACAGCTAACATGTTGGTTAATTTGACAGATTTTTCTGCATTTATTATTAGTTTCTTTTTATTCTGTCAGCTTTTCAGTAGCACCTTCGACACTTCTTCCACACGAAATGTGAGTGCACAGCAAAGGTAGGGGAGGGGCCAGTCTCGTTAAGAGATTACATTGGGCAATGCAGTGTTAGTAATACAAATGAAGGAATGGGCTGCTCCCATTGCACTGCTGCAATTGCGCAGTGAGCCACATCTGACTTGACTCAATCTCACACATTTCTTTAAGCCACAAACATACAACGTCATTCTAATACAATAGCAGGAAATAGCATTAGCTTACAGCATTAACTGCTGTATTATCCATTAGATGAATAAGCTATCCATTTAGCCAGTTACTACTATTAGCTAAATGTAGTTGTAGCTAGCGCCTTTATCAATGGTCAAAACACATTGTGAACATGTTGAAAGTTGTTGTAACATTTTAAGATTACAATACAAATAAGCCATAGTAACAATATGAGGTCGTTGGCGGGAGAGGTAACATTACACCGAATAAACTTACATATTTTTCTGTGATTGTTGGGAACACCAATATACAAATATAAAACACCCATCCATCCATTTTGAGGCAAAGCAAAAACCATTCACCTGCGAACTCTGCACTTCAGCGTCAGCGGCTCTCCTCCCTGAGTGGCCACTTATGGTTCCTCTGTCAGGTGATAAAGGTCGATAGCCAATGAGGGGCACATTGTCTGATTCCACCCCTGGCAGGTTATAACCACCTGTGCGTATGTTACGGGGTAGCATGGTGCCAGCTGCTGCAGATAAGAGACACATAAGAAATGTTTTAGATATTTCTTAAGAAGCTGTTGGAATGAATTAAGTACTCACATGTTCATTTCCTTATAACACAAAAGTATAAAAAAATTACATTAGTATCAGACAGTGGTGCTAAAGCTGTGGCTAAGGCAATAAAAGTGGATCACATCAGGCCAGCAGCCAGAAACTAATTTAAATTTCTACAACTGACTTATTTAACATGTCCAAACTCATTATAGAAAAGCAATGTTTTCCTTTTGAGCACTACAAATCTGAAACAAACTGTCAGAAACACAGAGACTCACTCCAACTTTCTAGGTTTTAGATCAAAGCTTAAAACTTGACTCTTTATTCCTGCACTGCACACTACTTTTTTCTCAGAGCTTTAAAGTTTTTTTTTTATTTTTTTATCCTGAATTCGATTTTTCTTCTCAAAAAACTAACTTGTATTTTCTTTACTTTGATGCTTTTTAATGTCTTATCTTAGACAGTTAGATAACAAATGCGAGAAGTCTAAATGTTTCTATTTTCCAGTTAGATTCTTAATAATTAGTTTGTTTCATAAAACGAGGAAAGACTGTAACAGTGTACAGAGTGATGTCCCTAAATGTGTGACCACTGGGCAGCTGGATTTTGTACTTAAGGTTTGAAGAAGTAATCATCAGTCATTTCCAGTAAATAAACTAACTGTAACTTTATGACGTATAGCCACGCTCGTGTGTGCCTCGTTTATTCGCCTTGTTCCATCACCTGTGAATACTTTCACATGTCAGAGCTCCACATTGGACAAACTATCAGTTATAGCTTTAAAAACTTTAACCTTTAAACTGCATTTTAAACAAAAGCAACACTCTAAATGGTATCCTGGAGTTGATTTGCTTAACACACCGACTGTGCCCTGCAGCAGGTCTGGATTTGCATAGCAACCCCTCCTTCCATTTCCCTTTCCCCTCTTTGGTATTTAGATTGCCCCGAAGATAAACATCAAGTAAACACTGTTACAGGAAAAGAGGTGTAGAGCGAGACAGTCGGCGGGTATAGGAGTGATATGAAGGTGATGGAAATGTCAACCACAGACACATAAACAGTTATGTTAACCTGAAGAATCTTTATTAAAAAACATGCTAAGGTGCTCAGTTGTGCAGTTTGGCGTATTAATAAATGTTGCGTGCGTCACAGTTTCTTCTTACTTTTACCAGGAGCAAATGATACAGAACGGCTGTGATGTGACCAGCAACAGAACAGCAGAGTCTGCCCTGCTAGCATGTTCAGATGACCTTTGAGCAAGGCACATGACCCATCAGGCAGCTCTGGATCAGAACGAGCACTTAAAAAGTGTGTGGTCTAAAAATGCATTAATGGCACTCCCTTGTTTCCACTCGTGTTGTATTGGTTCTTCACAATTTGTGTAACCCTAAACTTTCTCTTGCATAATGCTCTGTCTTTACTGCGGGTTTGTGATGGTTCATTATATTCTTGCTCAAGAAAGCAAGTTTGTACCAAGAGAGGAAAGGGGAGCAGGCCTGCAGGGGAAACAAAGCATTACCAGTGCAGCATATGATCTCGCTGCATGCAGAAGTCTGAAAGGCTGCTATTCACTGGCCTGGCCAAAGCAAACAGCCACATATGACTGATGTGTACACACATATAACGCAGTAACTAGGCTACAGTAAGTCACACCCCATAGTGCCTATTTTCTGTTTAATAAACGTAGCCGTGGGGTGGTGCTACAGCAGTACAGTCCTAATGACAGCTTCAGTCTCGATGTGGGCTGGAAGACGAGAATGGAGCCCGAAACTGTGAGGGCTGTAAAAGTTTGACGCGTGTATTTAAACACAGCAGAGTGACAGATGATGACATTTGCTTCCTGCTGCGAATCACTCCGGGACACGAAGGCCGTAAAATTAAGAGCTAGGCTATAAAAATTAAGCAAATAGAGGAAGATAAATGAAGGAAGCTACAATTCAACTTACTGATAGCGAAGTCTCATTCGCAGGATGCGCGCTATCCAACCGCGGTCAGCTCGACCCAGACTGCATTGGATGACCGCCGGGGCAACTGGATCGGTGGCCGGCTCAGCTGAGGAGAGTCGCACCCATCTGTACCACCGTCACCGCCGACAACGACGAGGGAGTCTCCATCCTCCGCCTCGCCCCCCCACCCTCTCTCGCCCCTCTATCGGTCTCTCCACACTGTTCGTCTGTCCAGCTTTCAGCAGCTGATAGCGCACTTTGGTCTGTCTGCAAACTCCCTCCCTCCCTCCCTACCTCCCCTCCCTCTCTCTCTCCGCCTCTCTCTTGCTCTAACGTCGCAGTTCCTGTACGTTGTGCATTCACTGCCTTGGCAACATATCCGTCTCTCCGGGCAGTTCCCACCGTGTGGATAGCGACACACCGCAACCGCCGTACGCGTCACCTCCGGGGAAATGTTACTTCAAGGACCAGCAGGGAGACAGCGTGACCGCGCACGAGCACGTGTACGCACAACCACACGCAAACACACGCGCATTTTCCCTCATTTTTGAAAGTCTTTACATCTATAAAATCTTCACTTCACCTAAACGAACTGACTGCAGAAAAACAGGCCCCATTAAATTGGCTTTAATACTTTGATAAACCTATAGATTACAATAACAAGTATAAAGCAGTCCCTATTAAACACATACACCTAAAAGTAAACCTGACCTCTGACCTATCTTCTGTATCACCAGACTTCATAAATCCACGTTAGGCTACTGAAGCAGCTTAAACTTGAACTCTCAGATTTTAATGCAGGCTCCCTCTGCAGTACGCAAGACTTTTCACAGGTTGACCCACATGATTGGTAGGTGTAGTTTAATGTGTAGAAAAATTCAGATTGCCCCTTTAAGACTAATATACCCTTAAGGATATTTGCACATCCATATTCACAATGCAAACCTAGACAGCAGACACTCTTGGGCATAATCTGGGCTACTTGTGGCACTTTTTCAAGCCCCAAAGCGCTTTACACTACATTCAGTCATCCACACATTCACACACAGGCAATGGCAAGCTACGTTGTAGCCACAGCTGCCCTGGGGCGCACTGACAGAGGTGAGGCTGCCGGACACTGGCGCCACCGGGCCCTCTGACCACTGTGACCCAGTAGGCAAACATGGCATCCGATATCTGGCATGCAGCCAGCAGCCTGGGATCGAACCACCGACCTTCTGATTAGTGGCTGACCTGCTCTGCCACCTGAGCTACAGCCACCCACAGAAAAGTCAGTCTTTACCTTACAAACCTGAGCTCAAAGAACGGGAGAGATATTGCTCTTTATTTTTACCACTGATAAGTAGAATAAATCACCCTTACAGTTGTACCCAGACCGTTGTTAGTGCCATCACCATGCATCTTGTGCTTATGTGTGCCACATTGTCACAGGGCAGTTACAGCTTGTAATGCATTCACAAGGACTGCAAATTAAGATCAATATGAGTCATTTAACTCATATAACTGATTTGATATATTTTTTTAAGAAAACTCCCTCACTAGTTGTTGGTCACTCCTGTGCTGAGAAATCCCAGAAACACACCTGTTCTCACAACTGAACTCATCTGCTGATCGGTATTCACGCAAACCCCACAGACCCACCCCCAGGCCCATGACATTTAATCTAGACACTTTTAGGTTTAGCTTCATATTTTAAGCAATTATCTAACGCTGTTTTTAGTGCATTGCTGTAGCGTTAAATGTTAGTATTTGCATTCTCTGCTCCTTCAAGGATGAATGGTTTCACCTGTAAAAAGTAGGCCATGCTACCATTCAGATTGCAACAGCTACTGTGTGACTGTAATGGCAAATGCATTTTAAATTGTGACACGGAAAGGAACTTGAGAAACAACACACCCATCACATGCAATAAAAAACCCATGATGTCAAGGTTTCAGCTTCTTTCTTTCTTTTTCTTCTTTTTTTTTTGTCTTAGAACCTGTGAAGACTCGACATTACAGATTCCACGAGCCATGAGGACTTTAAATGTTCTTCCTTTCTAATTATCCTACTCATATCATCATCATCATCACACCTCTGGGGCTTTTCTCGAACTTCACTCTGATCCTGCGAGACTGACAGGCCTGATTCAGTAGAGTTCCTGTTCTGGTGTTTGTTCGCCACCCAGCGGCCACATTTGGAAAATGACACTTTACGCTTTCTCTCTTTCTTTCTTTTCTTTTCTTTTTTCAATCTGCCAGGGGCCATTTTGAACCGCACGGCGGTGTTACCACACGCTCGACTGGTGTGAGTAATGTGCAAGACATAAACAAGAAAAGAAAGCAAAAACAAACAAACACAACCTTGGATTTGATGGATGAGCCTGCAGCCAAAAGCAGCAAAACACGCCGTTCGACTAAAGCAATTTAACTGTAAGAGTAATCTAAATCCCGGCGTGATTTAGCATTGTTTACAATTTAATAACGTGTCTGTGACTCTCTGGAAGCAGCTTCTCCCCCGATGTTTGCTTTTTCTGAAGCGGTTAATAGGTTTAGAGTAACCACATACTCAACAACGTGCATGGTTCATTCAAGACTGAGCTCAGTGAAGCAGCCTGCACTGGATGTATGACTTGAACTGGTGCAATTAGGGCCACTGTGCATTTGTTCATGTTTTGTTTTTCTTTCTTTTGTGAGCCATCAGACATCACAGCCCAGAGGAGATGGCCTCTGGATATTTGTCGCCTTTGGAGTTTATTTTTTAGATAAAATTGTAAGATCTGGTTTATATGGGAAGTAATTCTCTGTGACGTTGTGTTGCAAGTCAGTGAGCTCACATATGCTTTAAATCTACTGAGATCCCATTGTAGTATTTTCTAAATAATGTTTAATGTAATCCCAAAACTCTTGAGTAAAACAGAAAGAACGATAACACAAAATTCAGTTCATTTTGGGCAGCGGCTAGAAATCAGCACTGAAAAGCAACAGTTTAATCTTCCTGCTCTGCTTCTACTGCTGAAAACTTTTCCCACCGGTTTCCTAAACTTGTCCGGTCCCTTCTCGTTTGAAACCAATTAATGAGGCGGCTAAACTCACTAATTGGCTACTTAATTGGCCCCTGTCACCGGGCGCGCTGCTTCCGCTGGCTTTTAGCGCACCGCCACCCTCCTTTCTTTTCTCAGAAATCACAATCCCATCTTGTCACAGCGATTTAGGGTCAATCTCTCACACAGGAAGGTGCTCTCGCGGAGGACCCCCCCGCCACCTCTGGATCCCCCTCTATCAGTATCTCCCTCCCACTCTATCTTGGTGTTTTATGTCTGCGTCACAACAAGTCGGTCGAGAGCGAGAGGCAGGGATGATGGCGTCTCTGGCGGCTTGATTCCGGTGCTGCTCTGACAAACCCGCCTTAATAGCATCAGTAGGTGGTGACGGAGAGGGGGGGTTGAGAGCAAAAGCGACGGGAACATGACGAAACGGCACCGCGGAGGACGGACAAACTAGACTGAGAGACGGACGGACAGTCAGTCCCCCCCCTTCTCCTCCTCCTCTCCCTCCTCCTCGCTGACGGCTTGACTGACACACACAGGCGCTTGGCACAGACAGGGACATACATGCACATCATCCACTTTTTGCAAACACGCAGGCTGCGCATCCGAGCTGGCAGTAATTGGGCAGCGGAGACCCACAGCAGATGAGGGCATTTCATGTCCAGCCTGTCCAGGAATCACTGTGACCCCGACGGAAAGGAGTTCGACTTGACAGGTACCCTTCACCGGCCAGCTTTCAGCGAAATTTGTCTGATTTCCTTCTGACTCACAAAAGGCTACATACACTGTAATGCATCCTGCGTCTGTCTTGACTTGAGTGCATGCACTGGAACAAATGCTCAACGTGCAGAGATAATGCCTGCAGAGTCATTTGATGCATCTATTCAAGTTTTTAAGATGTTGGGAGAGGGGAAGACAACAGCAAAGTGCAGGGAAGATGTTTCAAGTAGCTGCACTGTGATCTTTGCTCATTCAGTCAAACTGTATTGCAGTAGTCATCATGCAGTGTTTTTTTTTCCGTGTGTGTATGTGTGTTTGATGTGTGCAGTAATCATTTGTCTTGCTCTCTGGTTGTGTACTCACTCTCATCTTTCACTGTGGTGGATACAGGCTGTCGCTATGCTCTAGTCTAAAAGGAGGAGGATGGAGGGGGGGGGGAAGATTTTAACCCCTTTGCACTGAAGCCCGCCTGTCTCAGAAGCAGTCGAAATGCCGGGGCCGTAAACCCCTCTGTCAGCAATGGCAGCAAAGTATTCAGCGAATAAATCGGATTTCCATTTCACATGAGCCCTGCTCTCTCTCCCCTCTCTGTCTCTTTCCTCAGGATGGGGGGAGTAAGTGAAGGAGATGATGTGTTGGCTCGATGGAGTGATGGACTACTGTACCTCGGCAATGTGAAAAGAGTATGTATGAGTGTGTATGCTCGTGTGTGACAGAGAGACCTTTGAGTGTGTGTGTTTAGCATGTGCGTGAATGTGTTTGGCTGGATTTGAAAAGACTTCCATTTAGTTTTGTCAATCACTCCGCTCACCTGCTATCTCCTCCTCAGGTAGATGGAGTGAAGCAGTGTTGTCTGGTGAGATTTGAGGACAACTCTGAGTTCTGGGTACTGAGAAAGGACATCCACTCGTGTAAGAAAACTCTTTTTTTTTTCCCTCCTCCCCTCCCGCTCCCTTCGGCAAGAAGAGTAAGCAGCTTCCTGTTGAGAGAACTTTGTACTTGTTGGGTTAAAAATGCATCTAGCTTGAGCTTTTGAACGCAGAGATGCTCGTATGAACTCGCAGTAAAGGTGGCGCTTCCACTCTCAGATTTCGCTGAAGGAGTTGAATGAATGCTCGTCTGATTTGTTCCTCTTGTGAGCTCAAAAGTTCAAATCTTGTGCCTTTTCTCTCAAGATCTCTCAACTGTTGTCAAAGAAAAATGCAGAAGAGAAATTTCAGTCACGTTTGCGGTTACGATACCGAGTGCTCTGAGTATTCTGACAGGGGGCATGTTGAGATGTAATTGGTATATTACAGTCTATTTAAGAGTTTATTAGACTCCGCGGGGAGCTAGCACCCCCGCTCTACCTAACATCAAGAGAAAGGGGAAGTTGGACACTTGTTAGGACCGGGCTGGATATGCGCTCATCAAATGAAGTGAAATCTGAAAGGGTACAGGAGACACTGAAATCAATGAGGTGGCAAGGATGTGAATCAATATACATAAATTAATGCTGTTGACTGCTTTCTCTCTCTCTCTGTCTTCCTCTCTCACGTTTACTTCCTCCCCTCCCCTGCTATTCTCCGTCTTTTTCTGTTTGCCTCAGTTGCTGCTGGAGTGGAAGAAGTTTGCTGTATTTGTGACGCTCCGCCTCTTAAAGAACCCCTCATAAATTGTCTTAAATGTCGCCACGGTAAGGGAGCGCACCTCATCACACACTGTCAAATGGTGGTGCTCCACCAGTTCCTGCACTGACCTTGAACATTTGACACATTATGGTAAATAAAAGTGCCACACTTATAAAAAGAAAACCACATATCAGAAATGAGTGATACTGTCGCTGCACCTGCATCGGAACCAGAAACAAAGTGAGAAAACAAACTTCTCCGGGGTTTATTGCTGACTTAAATATCCTTTCCAGACATGTTTTAAGAACTGGAAATACTAATTTGCAGAATAATAATTTGCAGCTAATTTGATAATTGCATAGGTAAGCAATCCTAAAATAACATCTTTTTCTGTCTTGCTGAAAAATGCACGCAGTGAGATTTTTAAAGGTTTAACTGCAGGATACAAGATGTGCAATACTCTAAATGAAATTTTGCGTATATCCAGTGAAAGCTTCACGTGTCTTCATCACACTTCTTTACATTGAATACACCGCATTGAGTTTTCCCTCTCTCTAACTAGTCACTATATATGGGAACTTGTAGGTAGCATAGAAACCTGCCAGGAATTGACGGGAATTCACACACAGTTGGGAATTTTGCTAGTTTTTACAAGCCTTAAAATCTTGGCAGTTGATCCCCCAGCCCCAGGATAAAGGCGAGTCTTTCTCGTGTAAATGCTGTGAGTTTTATGAATGCAAATCAGGATATTACAGGGGTGAGGATTAGTCTCAAGCCTATATATAAAGTGATGGACCATGATTGACTTTCAGGAAGGTTAATCATGCTCACATGTGGCTGTCCTAAAGTGTTATTTTCAGTTAGGACTGAGAAATTTTCCCACTTCATAAGATTTCAGTTGACCTCCACACATGCATATTCTGCACAGTGAAGGTCATGCATTTTAGTGTTTTACTCCATTTGGACTTTTAAGCTACGATATATTGAAGCGCAAGAGGGAGGAAGTTTTAAAACTGTCACAGCAATGACAGCAAATCTTAGCGTCACGTCTTCACAGCTCTGTCATGCGTACACGGTTTCTGACAGTTTGTTTTTGAGGAAAAAAGCAGACAAACATATTCACTACGTTTCTCTCTCTAAATGCAAAATAGTGTAAGTGAAATGTTTTGCATGCAGCTGAAACAAACTGGCACTAAACATGGAGCTGCTCTGTCATTATTGTCACTCCGGCTGTGTGTCTTGTAAACACGAATTAAACGCTCTGCCTCCTCCTCCCATTACAGGTTATCATCCCGAGTGTCACACGCCAACCATCGAACCGGAAGCCGACAGCGATTCGTGGATATGTCGGCAATGTGTCTTTGCAGTCGCAACCAAGGTCAGACGGCTAATCTCTACGTTTCACATGCTGGGGGGGAAAAAACGTTCAGTGCGTAATATAGGAGAAATCCAGTCGAATATATCAAGCTGCGCTGCGGCTACCCTGTTGTGCGTGGCAGGTAATGGGTTTATTCGAGGTAAAAGCACACTAATTCTCTCAGTATTGACTTGAGTATTAGATGTTCTACATTATGTCAGTGAAATCATGAACGATCAATAGCTATGAAGCTGAAAAACTACACTGGAGTTGAGAAAAGTACATTTAAAGTCAATCAATCACATGTGCTCCAGTTCTGTAGATATGAGATGAGAAGGCACTCGCTTAATTGTCAATCGGTCAACGTCCATATCTCATTGTCCAGACTTCCGCTTCCTCGGACACTATCTCTCACAGCTGACCTACAATAAAATGAAACGAATTGCCTTCTCCCCATCGCATGCGATCCGTCTCCCTCGCCGCTCTGACATGACAGTGATTTCAGAGGACGCAAACCAATCAGTTCTGTCCTCAAATTGTATTCACAGAGAGGGGGGGCCCTCAAACGGGGGCGCTTTGCCCGGCTCATGCAGTTTATGAAACTTCGGCTACCCTATCAGCTGTCATCCCTGGACTGGGACCCACAGCACCTGACCAATCAGCAGCAGTGTTACTGCTACTGTGCCGGACCTGGAGAGTGAGTGACACTGCAGAGGCCAGTTTTAAGTTTGACTGTACACTTTGTGTATGCTCCTAAACTTCTTTCATTTCTACAAAGCTTGAACTCAGATATCTCAAAGGCGTATTGTGGGTTATTTATAAAGCGCACGCAGTGCATCTGACGTGTCTCAGTCAGTCAAAACTGGCTTTTTTGAGTGAAATTCTATGTATCAAAGATCAAGTCAGATATGCAATCAATAAAATAAAAGTACTCCAAGCTATCTTTTAAATGCACTGTCTGTGTTTGGCTAGCTCCTGTGTAGTACCTCAAGTAGAATAAAGCAAACGCACAACTGTGAGTCGTGGGACCACAAGACACGTCTTATGAAATGCTGCAGTCATCATTCGGTAGCCATCGCTCAGTTATGCTGCTGGACACATTCATTCATTTGTGTGTTTAAAGTCTCTCTTGCTGTTTCTTTCTTGTGACTGGGTTGCAGGTGGAACCTGAAGATGCTACAATGTGGCAGCTGTGGTCAGTGGTTCCACGAGGCCTGCACGCAGTGTCTAACCAAGCCTTTGCTGTATGGGGACAGGTACGTTACAGGGTATCGCTGCAGAACGCTGACAGTATACTCATAATTATGTTGACATTTTGTGCAGCTAACACATTACAGTATAATGCATTTGTTTATGTGCACTTTTTAAAACTTTCCCTGGGAGGGTTATAACTTATTTGTTAGATTTTGTTGGACGTTTGAAGCAGATGTTGATACTTGAGGGTAAAGGTACATCAATTCTGATAATTCTATGATTGCAAAAAACTTTTTGGGCTTGCTTGATAAAAACAGTAAAGCAATGACGCACATTTCAACAAATAAAAAAGACAAAATCAACATAAATAACAACTCAATTAAGAACTCAATCAAAATGTTTGAAACTTAAATGAACGATAAGGATATAAATTAAGAAAAACAAAGCGAGACATTTTTAATCCTCTTTGTCTTTCCTTATCTGCTAATAAACAGTCAACATCAATATTAAGGCGGTGTATTAGTCACGATCTATAATTGGATCGCGTAAGTCTGTAATTTCAAGCATAGCTTAGTTTACATTGTTTTTTTCATTATTACTTTTCACCAAATATCATTTACTTTTAGATCCAGTATCTTTAGATATGGAATTACCGACACAGAAAGTACCCGTGTTCTACTCGGCATACATTTGCTATTGTTGATTATTTCGTTGTTGTTGAATGACGCACATGTAGCACAGCTTCTCAGTGGTTTAAAAGGCAATCTTAAATATTCCATATGCTTTATATTTACTTAAAAATATACAAATAATAATGGATTGGATTTATATAGCGCTTTTCAAGGCACCCAAAGCGCTTTACAATGCCATTATTCATTCACTCTCACATTCACACACTGGTGGAGGCAGCTACAGTTGTAGCCACAGCTGCCTGGGGCAGACTGACAGAAGCGAGGCTGCCATATCGCGCCATCGGCCCCTCTGGCCAACACCAGTAGGCAGTAGGTGAAGTGTCTTGCCCAAGGACACAACGACCAGGACAGAGAGCCCGGGGATTAAACCGGCGACCTTCCGGTTACAGATACGCTTCCCAGCCCCCTGAGCCACGGTCGCCCGAAAATGAAAGAATAGAGAAAAAATCTGCACATTTACGAAGCTGGAAGCAAACAGTAAAAAAATTATTTTAAACAGATTCATAACAAAGTGTGAATCCACTATCAATATTATTAATTAGCTGATTGTCTCAGTTTATTTGAGATAAGCAGATAAACAGAGTCTATTTAAGGTAAACAGATAAAGTTGTCCACATGACAGCTTCACTCATCAGAGAAGTGCCTTAATTAGCTTAAGACTAAATTATTAGTGTGCCTGTTAATGTACTCTGTGACTCGCTCTACAAGGACAACAGCTCATTACATACTGAGAGCAAAGGGACGGTGACAGACACTAAGCAGGCATATCACCTCACAGCTATTAGCTCAGACGAGATGCTGGGTGGATATGCAAGCTGCTGATCACTGTGTGCTTTCATAGGCTGCATCCCATGCGTGTAATAAAATGTGTCCATCCATTAAGTTATTATTGTCATTAACCATCTGTGCTAGCCAACTGGGTTTCACACCCTTCCTGACACTGTGTTACCGCCGAACCTGTCTGAAGAGGAGAGGGGGAAAAAAAGGAGGGATTAGATTTAGATTGACAGCCGGGGGGAGTGAGGCCGGATTGGTACAACATCTGCTGAGCAGGTGATGGAGGAAGAGTGAAGACTGAGCTCACAGTTGGAATAGTAAGCATGCACCGCTGTCATACCATGTCTGCGCTTCATCTTACCCAGTGACCTTCATGCATATAGAAGGACGGAGGCACACAGTGTTGTTGTTGTGTGAGTTCAGTTTCAGGGTCACTCGGGGCAGAATGTTGTTATAGTGGAAAAAAGATACACTTGTCCCTTTATTTCCAGTTCTGCTTGATTTATATGACAAAATGTCTGGAGAAGACATCTATAGATAGCAAGGAAAGCAAAAATGTGAAGATTTTTGTCCTAGATTGGCGAGAGGACACAAATGTAGTAGCCAAAGACGGGCAAAATATTCAGGAAAAGGCAAGTCAAAAGAAGGGTGTGAGGAATCGAGACAGACAGCTTGACAGCGGACAAGGAGAAGGCAGAAATATATATCCACACGCAGCAGTGACTAGAAATGAGACACAGGTGTGTAAAACTAATAGGGGCAGGGCAGATAATCACCAAGGAGGGAGGGGGATACGAGCAGAAAGTTAAAAAACAAACAAATCAACAAGCCACATAATGAAGCAAATCTTCAAAGTAAAGCAGGAACTAAAGATAAATAACTAGTGCTGAAATGAAACATGAAGAACAGAGATAGGGGGACGCAGAAGGCAGGGGATCGTGACCTTTGTTACATGACTGAAAATGAAAGAATAAAAACCCCACACGTATGAATCACTTGAAGTTATTAATAAGAACTCAACAAGACGTAACATAGTTAATATATCTAGATACAAAAAGAAATACTGATTCTGCAAATAATAAACAAAAGGATTAGCTATTTTTTAAAATAAAATAAATAAAGATGCTTGCTCCTGCATATCTCTTGACAGAGTTGAAAATTCCCCTCCCTTTTAAAAGAAAATTTCATGGAGATGTTTTGCAAACGCTCAGTTTTACACCTTTTTCATCATTCAACAGTCCTAATGTGTCCCTAACATAATCACTTATGTGTTGGGTGAAGCCCCACCTCTCTGTAATCATAACCTTTTAACTAATCTTGGTTAAAAAAAAAGTTACATGACCTCCTTGCCATAGGTAACTATTACACAAACAAACTCATCAAGAGTAAAATAAATGTTTTTTTAGGAATAAACTGAGATGCTTATCTGAATTTTTGTTTTTTTCTTCTGTTTTAGGTTTTATCAGTTCCAGTGCTCTGTATGTACAAAGGGACCAGAGACAATCCAAAGACTCCCCATGACTTGGTGATTTTGACATTTTGACTGACATGTTTACAGCCAATGAATATGAACAGAAACAGAAAATACATTTGAAAGAATTAAGCTGATTCCACCCATTTTTGGTAATCACGTCTGGTGGACACACAAATTAATATAAATTGTGTCCATTGAAAAGAATATACAAAAAATGACACTAAATATTGATTGTTTATGTCTGTGCTGTTTTTGCATTTTACCTGTCTTGTGTAACGGACTCTTACTTTTTTGAAATGCAGGGTGGATTTGGCTCATTTAGTACTCTACCATCTCTCGCTGTGCTGCAAGAGGAAATACTTTGATTTTGACCATGAAATCCTGTCCTTCACCAATGAGAATTGGGACTCGTTGCTGCTAGGCGCGGTATTGATATTTCCCTGTTTCAGGACCATGATGAAATGATGTGAAATGCTGCCAGGCTTTTTTTTTTCTTACATTTGAGACTTAAAGCCTATTAACCAGCATTAAAGTAAAAATTAAAGTTAAAAATGTATGACCTCTATGTAAGCTTAAAGGAGAACACCAAGTTAAAAATTCAGTGTTGATCTAGGACAGCGGTTAGTGACCTTACTTGGCCAATAGACCCCCACAGCCCTATCAGATTAACTCAACTCTCCTCCACTACCACCAAGTGACAATTATTACTGTTTTGAATGGGTTAGCTGCCTTAAGCTAAAGCATTGAGTAGTTCATATGCAGTACTGTGCAGCTTAACCATTTTAAAGGTCCACTGATTATTTTCAGCGAACTATTTCAACAGTTAATACATTGCTTATAAGAAATGAAGCAAACAAACCGTTTACAAAAGTTTTTGTAGGTTTGTTTTTAGTACAGTACTCCTCTCGTAAATTTAAATGTCTTTTTATACTGTATTTCACATCCATCTTTGTTGTTCATAGTTTCCTTTGTCTTTGTGCACCAATTGTGGATTTTTCAAACATTTTCATTCATTCTTGCAACATGTGTCTAGCAAGAATCAGTTTAATTTGACAAATAAACTTCTATTGTCATTGGTTAATTTTATAATATTTCCCAGTATTTCATTCACA